CAAAACTTATTATTAACTGACTTCAAAAACGAGGAAGTTTATCAATTCTTCGGAATATTTTATATTATTCTATTTACATATATTACCGGGTAACTTTGAACCACTGAACCGTTTTCGAGTATTTTTTTTTGTAGGAGAGGCGGTACCTCAAGGGTAGTCCCATACTAATTTGGTTTAGTTCCGATCATGGTGTCATGAAGAAAATACGGTAATCCTAAATTTTTGTATGAGCATTGAAGTCGGTGCTATTTTTTGCTTAAAAATTACTTGTTGTTAAACATCACCTTCCATCATTTGTATTTTTCTTAATATGCATAGATTTTGCAAACTCCGTCCTGATCCCACGGGATTTTTGAAGTGTTCTATTTGATAAGGATAGTTATTTTTATATCCGAGCGCACTTGTGCACAAGGGTATTATAACTTTGTTCACATAACGGTTGTTTGTAACAGGCAAAACGAATCGAGATAGATATAGACAAATGTATACATAAATGATCAGAATGAAAAGAGAAATCGATTAAGCGGTGACTGTCTGTCCGTCCGTCTGTCCGTCCGTCTGTGCACACGATAACTCGAGTAAAAAGTATCTTAACGAAACTTGGTACGTGTACTTCTTTCGGGCGTAGGACGGATGGTATTGAAAATGGGCAAAATCGGACAATAACCACGCCTACCTCCCATATAACGGTAATTTTAAGAAATACAAAAACTGCGATATTTTAGTAACTGCTGAAGATAATTCACTCAAAATTTATATTTATAATAAATTTTAGACGAAAAATAAGAATATTAACATTTTTTTGAAAATGGGCGTAGCCACGCCCACTTATGGTTACATGTGTATATCTTGGTAACCGCTGCATCAATTTATTCCAAACTTGGCACAGTTGTTGGCCCTGGTATAGCATACTAAATGGCCGAAAATTTTTAAAATCGGACAATAACCACGCCCACATCCCATATAACGGCAATTTCGTGAAATACGAAATGCTCGATAAATCAGTAAATATTAAAGCTAATTTATTCAAAATGATGGTTGCAACAATTCTTTGCTAGGAAATACGTTTATGATAAAATTTTGGAAAATGGGCGAGGCACCGCCCACTTATGATCACGTATATATATCTCGCTAACCGTTCTAGCAATTTGTACCAAACTCGGTATGGTTATTGTGCTTGCCACATAAAAGTAAACCATTGAAAATTGTTGAAATCGGACTAAAATTACGGCCGCTTTTCATATAACGGTAAATTTCAGAAATGCTTGAAATTTCAATATTTTGAAATTTAAGGACGCTAGTTTACTTAAAATTAATACACGCCGGCTTATCATGTAGCGGTAGCTTTCGGAAAGGTGGAAAACATATATTTAATACTTGCGCCGGGTATTTAATGTTCGGCTCCGCCCGAACTTAGACTTTCTTACTTGTTTTTAGTTTAATATATTTATCCTGCAAAGGAATTTCAATACTTACTCTGAATTATTACATGGTTCCTTAAAATATTCAATTTGATTAATTGTTTAGTGTTTAGTATTTATGTTCAAATTACTTTTACTTACTTTTAATGTTTTGAAATATTCTTACAAAATTTTTATTAAAGCATGCCTCCTTCTATATATTTTTTCCAATATTTTGTCCGAGAAAGGTTAGTGAAAAATTATAAAACAAATACATTATCGATGCCTTCAATGGATAGAAAAGCAAAAATACAAACTTCCGTTTGAAATGCGAGACTCTTAGGTGAGGCGAGCTTGAAGGTAAAGCAACTATTATAAAACTCGTAGCATCCGCTAACATACGTTTTTCGTCGGGTGGATACATACTCCGATACATATGAATAGTCAAATACATGCGTAATGAATTTTTTTATGAAAATACTATTTTTAAGTACGAACAGCGAATATATTAATCGCTAGTTTTTGCTCTAAGAGCCTTTCCATAATGGTAAAGGAACTATTCCATCTAGTTGGATTATCTTGTATTAATTTATGTGTTGGTAAATGTAACAATTCCAATTACAAATATCTACTGGCTGATTTACTTCTATAAAAATGGCCCAGTATTTTACGACATTTCTGTAAAAATTCTGTAACAATTATAGAGATGCGAAACAACCACAAAATTTTAACTACTGTCGTTAAATAATGTAACTTCACGACAAATACAACCAAGGAATGAAACCGATTCAAAATAACGTTCCGGTTTGGGTTTCCGTTTTGCCAAGTGTTTCGGTTTCGGTTTTGGTTTCGTTCTTCAAAATTTATTTCGGTTTTGGTTTCGGTTTCGTTCCGGTTTCGGTTTTTCACAGAAATTTTGTTGATATTATTTAAATCACAATGTCTTAAACGTTGAGGAAAGAAAATCGAAAATTACAGTTCACTGATAATATCAACACTAGGTTCTTTCCCTAACAATCCGGACCGGATTTGGTAATTAGAGAATAAGAGAAACATTTTCTTTCAAAAATGGAACAAAGTTCAGAAGTACGGAAACGCAAAAACCCACATTTCGTGCCCACAAGTCGAGAAACAGCTGATTCACGTTGTTCTTATTTTTGTCACTTATACCATGTTCTGACCGACATCGGAAATATGTTTTCGTTGCTAAAACTTTTTTTTTCGATTATTTATCGAAGTGGAAGTCATATTTTATCATCTTTAATACGCCATTTCGGATTTATTGTTAATTGCCTGGCCAAAGCAAAATAAGAATGAAAGTTAAAGGTTGTAAATGAAAAGAAAATGAAGGAAAAATGTTTTGGTTGTCGGTCAGAACAAGGTATTAAATGCAAACACTTGGAAATTGAATTTTGGTTTCACAAATTTGATTTTAAGTACATAGATTGAAAATACATCAACAGGCCATTCACTTTTCCTTAAAAGCACCAAGTAAATGCAGGCAACATGTAAATACAATACAGCTGATATGCACTTTGACACTTTATCCATTTTTACTCGGATAAAATTTCGGGCTATTTCGGGCAGGAAGAAGAATACACTTACGATCGAATACGCTCGAATTTTCGCTCTCTATTACCCATTTTGTTGAGTATAGACATGATTTCTGGGCTATTTTGGGCACACGCGGGATCTCGCATTGCGTACGGGAAAGAAACTACTTAAATATAATTAATCGATTATCGATTCACAACAACAAAGTCATCAGCAGATTTTTGCGAAAAGTTACCTTGCCATACTTATTTACTACTTAACAAGAATTGTAGCAAAATGTTGCTGATTTTGGTTAAATAAATCATTTATTTCAAAGAAATTTTTATTTATTAATTTTGTAAATTTCTGGAAACCGATTGAAACCTGTGATTGAAATGGTTTCGGTATCGTTCCTTTTCAGGTCAAGATAACGGTTACGGTTTCGGTTTCGGTTTTGAAAAACGAAACGGTTTTAAACGGTTACGGTTACGGTTTGGGTTTCGGTTTCATTCCTTGAATACAACACCTTGGGAATTGCCTAATTGTTCGGCATTTTCGGCAGAAGGCCGAAGTCGAAGATAAAAAATCAGCCGAATAAGTCGAATACCGATGCCAGGCCGAACCTTCGGTCAGCCACTAATTTACATACGGCCTTGGCCAAAGTATTAGGCATACCAATATACAAACATATGATGATTTACAAAATTTATTTTTTTGTTTATTTAGTCTTTAATATTTTGTATAAAAGCCTAGCTCACTGTCTAACAAAGAACATATAAATCCAAATTCCAAATTTTGTGCAGAAAATATAAAAATTCTTTAAACTTTCACCAAAAATGTCAAAAAATTATTCAAAATCTGTAGAAAAAAATTTGGTATGCAGTTTTGTAGCCCATTAAGTTTTAGTATAACAAAGTACAAGTTTCAAGTTGCTAAAAAATCCCGCTACTTTTTATGATTTTTTTTTTGCTGACGCTGTCTCGCATTTTCTTTCATAAAAAGTATGTTCGAATTTTTTCATATGGAGGAATATGCACAACACCGTCTGCAAAAAATATCATTAAAACCTAAGGGATTTCTTAGCAACTTGAAGCTTGCACTTTTTATACTAAAATAACTGCGTACCAAACTTTTTTCTAAAGATCCTGAATAAAAAGTTTGCAATTTTTGGTGAAAGTTTAAAGAATTTTTATATTTTCTGCACAAAATTTCGAATTTGGATTTATATGTTCTTTGTTAGACAGTGAGCTAGGCTTTTACACAAAATATTAAACATTAAATAAACAAAAAAATAAATTTTGTAAATCATCATATGTATGTATATTGGTATGCCTAATACTTTTGGCCAAGGCTGTATGTATGTACATATGTAGTAAGGTAATACATTAAATAATAACTCATCTTAGTTTCAGAGGCAATTCAAATTTATAATTTTTTTTTGCAGATTAGTTCAGAAATATTGCAACAAATAAATTACAATGTTAAAAACCATGGGTATTGTGCGCGTCGATGAAATCTATGAGTACTGCAATCTTGTTTATAATAAATATTCTTAAAAAAATTACATATTTTAAGACAAATCTTAGCCAAAGAATTCACAAAAATCTTAGTTTTACATAATTTTTGAGTACAGAATTTTGACCCGAAATAATTTTAATTGCAAAATAATTTTTTTACATTTTTTCCAAAGTAACTTTTAGTAAACGCCTGCACGAAAAAATAATTGTATATAACTTGCATATTATTCGCACTAGAGCCCAAAAATTATGAGCACACAATAGGACCTGTCTAAAATTAATAAAATACATAATCGATGGATAATAATTTTAAATTTTTCGGGTCCCACTTGTAAGATTTTTACTCCTTAGCTCGCTCTCCAAAGCAAACAAGCGCATGCAAAATAATCCATGGCGATCTAAAACTTTCATCACTTGGGGGTACTTCTGCAACCGGGATTATCCTCATATAACAACTATAATCTTTGTATAATACAAGATTTTTATCCTTTAACGTTATTTCTAGATTACATTAAAAACAGATTAAGCTGACTTTTTTATTTTTTTTTAGATAGCTCGCAGGATAACTCGAATGACCATTTATCAGTGCATTTACAGCAGCTTGGAGAAAGGCTATTCCCAAAGGTATGTCACGTTATTGTTATATTTAAATTAAGTTATTTATTTATTGTCATTTCGGTTATTATTACGACCGCTGTGGTGTAGTGGTTAGCAGTGCGCGCTACCATTGCACAGGACCTGGGTTTAAGCCCAGTTTCAGACCAACATCAAAAAATAAAAAATACAAAAAAAATCGGTTTTTAATAGCGGTCCCCTCGGCAGGCAATGGAAAAATCTTCGAGTGTATTCAGCCATGAAAAACTTCTTATAAAAATACACTTGCCGTAAAACTGTAGGTAGCTCCTCTTTGTGTGACAACATCAAGGCGCACGCCACAAGTCGGAGGAGAAGCTCGGCCAAACACTTAAAATATTGTGTAAACGCAAATCTATTATTATTCATCCTCATTGTGCTAGTCGTGTCGAATGCAAGTCGTTTTTCGAGAATCGAATCGTATCGAAGATTTCACGTTATTGCCTAAAATTTCCACTCGACTAGTTTATTAAAACGGAAAAACTTGGCAGCACTGTATAGTTTTCGACGATTTTCGTGTTTTTTTTTTTCACCACGACAGTAGACAATGCCAATGTTGTCGCGTCGTACAATTTAGCCTAATTTACGACTTACGCAATGAGGCTGATTATAAACAGAAATCGTCGTTTAAGTGCAAAACCGCGTATCAACAAAATGCAAAACCGAGTATCAGCAAATTGCAGAACGCGTATGTGAAGTTTTGGAAATCATTTTCTAGAGTGTTAAAACACCCATATTTCAAAATGGTTCTCTTTTTTATAAAGAAATCGCACTTCTGGCTAGTATATTTCAGGACGAATGGATAAGGGTTGAGCCAAGAGGTTGTGTGAGCAAATACAATTTTTGGCAGCCAATGTCAGTTAATCGGTTTTGCGGAATGACGATACGCGGTTTTGTACTTTAAACGACGAAATGTAACCCTCGAAAGCAGAATACTACACAGTGTTTATGTTTCCAAACGTTTTTACCAATCGTTATAGTAGACGTGTTTTTTTTGTATTCACGCATTCGTATCTACGCTTAAAATTTGTATGGAACTTTAAGCGACAAACTTTATGTGTGCTTATGAATAGTTGTCGAAGAAATCGAAATTACTGATTTTTAAATAGAAATTGTCGATGCTTGTTTTTTTTACACGTTGTGTAAAGAAACCAGAAGGATTGTGTAAGCCAGGGCCGACGAACCTTTATACATACACGTGCCATTATTTCCAAAGACTTATTCAATGTAGCCAGGACGTGCCAAAAAGAAGTCATGACTTATCACCGGTTTTGGGGACATTGGTTGACACTTAAATAATAACACTTAATTAATTAGTAATTATAATATTTTCAATATTTTTGCATTGAATTTATCGTTTTTCCTTTTCGCGTCGGCAGACCGTGAATTTTTCGATATTTTCGCCAAAGTTTTGCAATGATTAGTTTTGAAACCGCGTGCTTACGATGGAGATCGGTGACTGACGCAGGGTATTAAATTTTTGTTGAAGCCAGCCGATGGCGACCCTTGCTGGCCACCTTGGGTCTTCTGTGCGCCCACGCGCGGATCCGTACTGTAAACTACCGAGTCTAAAAGTTAGACATACGTACAAATTCATAAGTACCAGACATGGGCGTAGTGCACTAAATTTCAAGTACCACTAATATTGAATATAGTGAGGCTTATTTTTTTCTAATCCCACTAAAAGTAGTGGGACTCAGATTTTTTTTCACTACCACTAAATGCGTTAGTGGTAGTTGAAAAAATGTCCACTCAAAATAAATGCCTTTAGTGGTAATTGAATTTTTTTCCACTACCACTAATGGTAATGTAAAAAATTTTCAATAATTTCAAAAGTAGTGGAATCAACAGATTTTCTACTAAAACAAATATAGTAAAGTAATTAGGCCTTTTCAAGTGATTTTTGGAAATGTATCGGCTTTTGAATACATGTGTGCATATTTTCTAACATAAGTACATACATATCAATTTACAGTGTATTTCAATACAATTACAATATTTCTTTAAGATAAACAAACACAAACACAAATTTCGCTTTTATGGATTTAAATATTAAAAACACGAAGTGGAGACTCACGTAAGAGGTTACTTATACACATATCGCACACGATCTTCAAAAGTGACGCAACTCAAAATTTGGCATTTTTGGAATTATGCACTAAAAATGTACACTGGTCCGGGAGCAAATTTTTGTTATAAATTGTTGAAAAAACCTAAGGTAAAGTCTTCCTTGCCTATATGATTAGCATGTGCTAAGGAATAGTTTTTCGCATTTTCTGACGAACGTGTAATTTTGAGTTGTAAGATGATGAATACGTAGTCAATATATAGCACGTTTAATAATAGGTTTGTTCCACACGCCCAAAACAGCCCAGAAAGCGTTTCTCGCGCTAGAAAAATGGGTAATAGAGAGCGAATACCTTCCACTTTTGAATTGTAAAGGTCTTCTTCTTCGTGCCCGAAACAGCCGGGACTTTTTTCCGAGCATAAATGTGCAAGAAGTCAATTTGAAAACAGTTGTTGTTTGTTTACACCCGAGCTTGTTTTTTGTTTACATCCGAGCGCAAATTTTGTAAAATACCAAAATGGAAAATAGCAGTAAAGTTTCAGAAATGTAGGTATTTGCTAATTTTATTAGCCATATAAGATAAATACACATAAAATCATTGTTTAGAGCTGATTTGTTGATTCCGAACACGAAATGTGGTTTTTTGCGTTCCTCACGCTCTGAGCACTTTTGGCACGTATTGACTTATTTTTAACACTTGTCAGAGAATAGCTTATTTTTACGCTCTAATTAGCGAAACATAACGGAAAGCATGTGGAACTAAGCTAATATAAATTTTTCAAATTTTCAAATTTGTGGGAAAACGCAATCAAAGTTTGATCAATTCATACAGTTGGTATACCAAAAGACAGATGGAAAGATGGAAACATATTCTCTTCATCAAGCTATTTAATTGTATTATGAAATCTCCAAGAACGTAAATTTTCAATTACATCTCTATATTATTAAACGTGCGATATCAGTTTTTCCTTACTACCAAGCATTAGTATTATTTAGTGGAAACATGAGGGGTATTCTCTGAGTCTTGCAAAGCCCTTGCACGGTGCACGGATTGCACGGTTTGCAAAGTTGTCCCATACGAAAACCGGTTTTTACCGTGCAATCCGTGCAATCCGTGCAATCTGTGCTCCATGCAAGGGCTTTGCAAGACTCAGAGAATACCGCTATGGATTTTTCCACTATTTGCAAGATTTAGTGGAAATAGTCTTTAAGCCATTAATATTAATTTAGTGGAAATTTTGTCAGCTCCAATGTCACTAGGCTTGGAGTGGAAAGCATTGTGCACTACCACTAAAAATAATAGTGATTTTTTCCACTAAAAATGTTTGTTTATAAAAAAAAACAGCTTTTTGACCTGGTACGCATGTATGTACATTAGGGTGGTCCAAAGATACACGTGGAAAAGTAAAGTCGGAATTTTTATGCTCTCACCCCCTAGGATTGTTCTATACCGAAAAAAATATATCCCAATTTTTTTATTTCAAAAATAAAAAATATTGAGAGGTCGCTCAAAGCGCCCAAAGTTTTCCATGTCTTTTGTATGGGGAAACAACTACTTTTCGTAGAAATGGTATAGAATTCTTAAAAATCAATATTTTTCTATGAGAGAACTCAATTTGTCTGCAGCAGATTCCCAATAATAATACTCAAATTTTTATTTAACGATTTTTTCATCGCAACTTTAATTTATAGGTCCACCAAAATCCCACAAAAACCCCGAAAAATTCAATGGGGGGACCAACAAAAAATCGTTAGTATTAAAAAATGGTTAAATAAACAATTGGGTCTTATTACTGAAAGCCTCCTGAAGAGAACCAGCGTTTCCGATCGAAAAATATTGGTTTTCAAGAATTCTGTACCATTTCTACGGAAAGTGGTTTTTTCCCCATATAGAAATACATGGAAAACTTTGAGCGCTTTGAGCGACCTCTAAATATTTTTTGATTTCAAAATAAAAAAATAGGGGTATACTTTTTTTCGTAATAGAACAATCCTAGGGGGTGAGAGCATTACAACTCCGAGTTTACTGTTTTTGGACCACCCTAATGTACATATACACAAATGTCAATGACATGGTATAATATGTGCACATCTGTACGTAAATAAGGAAATTAATTGTGCAAGTTTTATTTACCTGGCTTCAAAGGACTTGGACAATTTTAGGAAATGCTACATCTTAGTATTCTTGGGCAGAATTACTTGCGTTTACCTGAAATTAAAATGAGTTTCACTTACAAATTTCCGGTTGAAAAGACCAATTTAGACTCAAAAACCTACATTTATTTATTTATTTATTTATCTCAAAAGTACGGTAAGACATTAAGTCTTTTTTTTGTACATTTTTACAATTCAATTACAAATTTTAATCTTAAACTAAACTTAAATTCTAAGGCTTATCCAACCATGAAAACAAGGTAAGAAATAGTATGACGTAGGTGAACAAGAGTTACATAAAAGATGAGAAAACATAGAACTAAGTAAAAAGTTCTGTAACTGCCGTCTTAAAGCATCTAGCTGAATTTATGTTTTTAATTGAAAGTGGTAATGAGTTCCATAGTCTGACAACACTAACAAAGAATAGTCTGGAGACCGTTAACGTTTTATATTTTGGTACTACAATGTTTTTAGTGCGAGATGATATGACAAACTTAAGTCTACAGAAAAGGTAACCAGGCTGATGATACTTAATTATTTTAAATAAAAATAAAATATTTCGCACTTTTAAGTAATTATCTAGACTAAAGCAGAGAATACTTTTAGTATATAACGAGATGTGGTCAAATTTTCGCTTGCTATATATAAATCTCGCAGCATTATTCAAAGCTAGGTTTAGTTAATTTTTAGATTCGTAGTCGGGATTGCTATGTACTAACTCAAAGTAAGAAATTTGAGGAACAATAAGTGTCTTAACTAATTGAAGTTT